CTGGTCTCAATCACACTGATCCTCCTACGTCAGCCTCCCAAGTGCTGGGATTACAAGCGTGTGCCACCACACCGGCTCCTTGTGCTTGTGAGGCATGCGGCAACACCACTGAGCCAAATCCCTGGCCCCATTTTAATCATTTTTAAGAATAATTCAGTGGTATTAACTACATTATGCAACCATCACCAACATTCATCTTCAGAAATTTTCATCTTGCAAAACTAAACCCCTGTGCTCACCAAACAATAACTCTGACTCCTCAGAAACCACAATTCTCTATGATTTTAACTAGGTACCTCATGTAGAATAATAAAATAATTGTCTCTTTGTGATTGGTTTATTTCACTTTACACGAGGGCCTAAATCCATCCATGTAGCTAGCGCATTAGAATCTTCTTCCTTTTAAAGGTTGAATAGTTATATTCTGCACCACGTTGTGCTTATCCACTCATCTGTCAGTGGATAGTTGGGGTTCTTCCACATTCCAGCTTCTGTCAGTAATGCTGCTGTGAACACGGGCACAGATATTTCTTCCAGGCTGCTTTATGTGGTTCTTTCACTTCCACCTTATTTGTGTCTTTGAATCTGCAATGAACCTCTTTTCACCACTGTGCAGGAGGATCATAAAACAGTTAAGCTGGATGGTCGGCTTGATTGGCTTGACAGCCACCAGGGAATTAGTAAAACACACTCCGGGGTGTGTCTGAGTGGGTCATGCCGGTGTGACCTTGAGTCCTATTTCTGCTTCCCAGCCCCTTCCTCTCTGGCATCTCTGGCTCTGGCTCCCGGCTGCCATGAAGTGAGCAGATTTGCTCCACCATACCCTTCTGCCATCATGTTCTTGCCACGAACCAGCTGAGCACTGACTAAACCCTCTGCAAGCATAAGCCGAATGAACCTCTCCTCCATTAAGTTGTGGGTGTTGGGTATTGTGACCTGACAATAGGAAAACTGACCAATAGTGTCCTTTATTTTTAAAGTTCATTCTGACCAAGGTGTGGCCGCAGCAAGTGTGATGCACCAGGCCACTCCCTGTGGTGGGACCATCCACCAACTCAGGCTGTTTTATGTTGTCCTTTCCCTGGGCACAGGGCAGAGAGCTGTGGAGTAACTGACTGAACTGGTTCTAGGTGAGGACAGTGCCTGGGAATAGAAGGAGAAGCCAGGCCAGGTGAGTGTTGACCCTAAGTCTAACAGTCTGTTTGAACCCCCGCCCCATGGCCTACACAGGGCAGAGACCAGGGACCGATTGTTTGCCCATCTACAAACACGAGCAAGGACATTTCCTGGTGTGGGTGCTTATCACAGTTTGGAGTGAAGGGACAGAGAGGCCTTTGGTATAGGGAGGACACCTCACACATCCACAGGTCCCAAATCTAGGTAGAAAAAAGTCACAGCTGGCTGGATTCTGAGACTGCAAAGAAACCACTCATTCAAAAATGTAGAAGAATTTATTTTGATTCAATCACTTTAGTATTTAAAATTTTTAAATTACTTGTCTCTTGTCATTTTCTTGAGAGGGTTGAGATATTTTCTCCCTTTTTTCTTAAAAAAAATTTTTTTTTGAGACAGAGTCTCACTGTGTAGTTGAGACTTCCCTGGAACTCACTGTGTAGCCCAGGCTGGTCTCGAACTTGCAGCGATCCTCCTGCCTCAGCCTCCCGAGTGCTGGGATTACAGGTGTGTGTCGCCATGCCCAGCTTCTTTTAAATTTTTAACTCTTTCCTTTCTTCTTATCTTTCATTTCCTCTATTTTGTTGTCTCTTTTTCTTTTTTACATCTTTTGTTGTTCAGTCTTTTCTATGGCTGTTTTCTAATACTATTAATTTCCTTTTACTCGTCAATAGAACTCTCTGTGTCACTTTTATCGCCTCCTTCTTATATTCCATTAATTTTTCAAATTTTGCTTTTTTCATTCTCTAGTTCCCCACCCCCTCTACCCTATCTAGTATAGCTATTAAGCTTTATGAATCTTTAGCTAGCTAGTTAACTTTATACTATTATTGTTGAATGTCATTCTATTGTCAGTGGATGTAAAGTTTTTCCATTTAATAGATGTTTTCTGCAGGTCAATACTTATTTATTCTTAGTGTTTGCACTATAATTATAGATCTCTGTTTTATGGTTAAGGTGGTACACTTTTGTTTCTTAGAATATGTCAATATTGAGTTTGTCTTTGATACTCTTATTGTTGTTGACTTCATTGCTATTGCCCAGGTGGCATAGTTGCTACTATTAATTGGTTTTCTCTGTGTGCTAATATCTGTATTTCCTTTGCATCATCCTCAATCTTTCAGCCCATCCCCAGGGAACTGGATTCTGTGCCAATTAAACTGCTTCCCCCTTTCTCAAATCAACAGAGCTGGTTGTATCTTGGGACCAGGCAAAAACATATAGTTGGCCTTGCCTTAAATGCATCACTGAAAAGCAGGCAGTAACTAAAGAGGTCACAATGCTAGCAACAAAGTGTTTCCTTTGTAATCAATTGACAAACTTCAGCACTCTCAAGTGTGTGTGCACACAAATACACACACACACACACACACACACATACACACACAATAGAAACATGGCAACAGCACCACCCCAGAGCTCCCAAAGCTTATCTATGGGGCATACGGAAGGAGGAAATCAAAAGCCACACAGATGAATTATATAAAATGGTAAAAGAAGAGCTCAATATGGTGCTTGGCAAGCTCAGTGAAGATATGACTAAAAGGATAACCCACTTAGCAAACAAAACAATCAGTGAGCATACAGAAGATACTAATAAAATGTTAGCTAACAAGAGAAAAGAATCATACCACGGTGATATATGCACACAATATTTATAGCAGCACAGTTTGTAATAGCTAAAACTTGCAAATAGCCTAATTGCCCATCACCTGGATACTGGATGAAAAAGATGTGGTTTTCCTATAAAATGGAGTACTACTCAGCCAAGAAGAGCGAGAAACTAAGGGCTCAGTGGTTCTGTCACCTGCTTTGTAAGCACAAGGACCCAGGTACACCCCCAAAAGAGTAAGAAACTAGAATCATTTGTAGGAAAATGGATGTATTTTGAGGCCATACTCTTAAGTGAAATAAATAGGACACACGTGTAAATACTGAATATTTTCTCTGGTGCGAAAAACTAAAAGTATAAATAAGCTTCAAATTGTGTAATTGATAATGTGAAATAGGAAGAAAAGAGCTAAAGGAGTAGGGGAAGTGGGAAGGGAAGGAGAAGGGAAAAGAAAAAATATGAGAAAAGGAAAAAATGGAAACAAAGTCTTTGTAAGTAGGGAAGGGTGGAGAGGGCGAAAGGAAGGCAGAGGAATGGGGAAAAGATAAGAACCAAGATGCATCATGTAAGGGTACAAGATCCCGATGATAAATGTAACTGTACTGTGTACCTAAAATGTACCAATAAACTCAATAAAGTTAGCTGAACTAGACAAAATTACACAAAGGAGCAGTATAGCAAAAAATTAGAATCCATGAAAAGGTACCAAACAGAAATCCGGAATAAAATCTCTACTGAAAGTATGGGGAGCAGAAGTGACCAATGTATACACAGTGTCAGAACCAGATGGGAAGACTGATGTCAGTGACTGATTATTCAGAGACACCTTGAAAACAACAAAAAACAGGAAAATTGAATCTGACAGCCAATGTACAACACCTAGAAGACTTAAGATTAATGGCAATCGGTGAAAAAATCAGAAGACAGCACAAATGGTATAAAAAACCCATTTATTGAAAAAAAAAAAGCTTTCCTAACATGGGGAAAGAATTTAACATACAAATAAGAGAGGCACATAGAACCCGAAAGAGCTATAATCCACAAAAAATCTTTCCACCACACATTATAGTCAAAATCCCAGAAGTCCAAAACAAGGCCAGAATCTTAGAGGCTGTGGGAGAAAAGCAATGAATGCCTTATAAAGATAAACTTTAAAGCCCCGAAGAGCTTGGAATGAAGTGTTACAAGGACTAAAAGAAAACACTTTCTAACCCAGATTGATATGTCCCGCAAAACTATCTTTCAAAATTGATGGAGAAATAAGGCCTTTCCTTGACAAAGAACACTTTGAGAAATTCATGGCCACCAAACCAGCACTCCAAAATATTCACAAGGATATCCAGGAAAGAGACAATGAAGCCAACAATGCCAAAATATCTAAAAGAATGACTACATTAGGCCAGGTGAGCCGTTAAGTGGAAGGGAGAAAAAGAAGGGAATCAGCAAAAGGGAAATAACACAATGACAGAAATATGGTGGCCTCTCTTTTCATGAATGATTTTGTTTGCAAACAATTTGGTTTACAAATAGAAGTGCTTGGCAAAATTTTGTTTTTGTTTGCAGACTGCATCATGTAACAAACACAACAGGGGCCATCCTTCCTACAGAAACACAAACACGGCCATGTTTTCCAAAACTGCAGGACAAATTAAATTCATAAACCAAGGCACCACTGTACATTAGTACCTTTCAGTAGTAACTCTCAATATGAATGGTCTCAATTTCCCGAACAAAAGGGCACAGAACAGCAGAATGGATCAAGAAACAAAATCCAACAGAATGCTGCATACAAGAAATACATTTAACCAAAAAAGGCATTCATAGACTAAAAATCAAAGGATGGAAACTAAAACCAAACAAAAGTGGCTATCCTATTTTTAGACAAAGTGGACTTCAATTCAAAACTGATCAGAAGAGGCAAAGAAGGGCACTGCATTTGGTTAAGGGGCAATTCAACAGGAAGAGATAATTATTAACATGTATGCACTGAATGACACTGTACCCAATTTCATAAAACAAGTCCTGTTTGATATAAAAATCAGATAAACACCAACAACTGTCACAAATAGGTAGTTCAACTAGATTAAAAAAATCAACAAAAAATATTGGAGATGAATGAAATCTTTAAACGCGTGATGTGTTTAAATCACACGCATATATTCAGTGTTCCACCCAAGAAGAACAGAATGCACATGCTTCTCAGCAGCACATGGAATTTCTCCAAAATAGACCACATACCAGCCAATGTAGCATACTTAAGTGTGGCAAAATAACTGAAATCGTATCATGCATAGTAACATCATAACATAATGAAACTGAAAATTAATGACAAAAAGAAGAAATTAGACAAATGAATGGAAATTAAACAGTAAAATATTAGATACGCTTGCAGAAGAAATGAGAGAAATAAGACGGTTCCTAGAACAAAACAATAATGTCAGCAAAACACACCAGAATTTATGAGATACAATGAAAGCAGTTTTCAGAAGGAAGTTTATAGTTATAAATGCTTACATCACAAAAACAGAGTGAGCTTAAATAAATGACTTCACGATGCACTGCAGTGTCCTAGAAAAACAAGAAAAATCCAAAACCAGAGCTAGAACAAGGAAGGAAATTATAAAGCTCAGATCAGAGATCAATGAAATTAATAAAACAGATGACTTGTTGAAAGAATAAATGAACAACCATTAGCCAATCTTGCCATGAAAGAAAGGATCCAATTCAGTGCAATTAGAAATGAAAAAGGTGCAATCACATCAAACACCAGTGAGATCCAGAAAATTATTAGCAGTTAAAAAATCTGTACTGCAAAAAATTGGAGAATTTGGAAGAAATGGATGGATTCCCAGATACATGTAAATTGCCAAAACCAAACCAAGAAGACATTAAGAACTCTGAATAGCCCAATAACAGGCAATGAAATTGATGTAGTAATAACAAAAAACCCTATAAACTAAGCAAAGCCAAGAAAGCAATGGATTCACCACTGAATTCTGCGAGAACTTCAGGACACATCTAGTGCCAGTACTCCTCAAACTCTTTAATGAAATTGAAAGAGAAGAAGTGCTCCTAAAGGCATTTCTGGAAGCTAGCATTGTCCTCATTCCCAAACCAGGTACAATCCAACCGAAAAAAGAGAACCACAGGCCAACCTCTTTAATGAATATAGACACAAAATCCTAAACAAAGTACTGGCAAACAGAACCCGGTAAATCATCAAAGATCATACGTCATGACCTAGTAGGACTCATCCCAGGGATACAAGGACGGCTCAATATACACAAATCAATAAATGTAAAACATAGCATAGATAGAAGCCTGGACACAAATTACATGATCATCTCCACTGACACAGAAAAGGCTTTTGACAAAGTTCAACATCC